GAGAAAAAGGATTTGTTGTTTTTTGGGTGTATGATAAATTGATATTCATAATACAGAACGTGAAAAGAAATTCTGAATTGAGAAAACCTAATCACGAATCTGCGATATGATCTATAAAAATAACAAGTTTCCATCGTTCAAGTTTGAACAACTTGATTGGGAGAACGTATTGAGAAGCAATATTGTCAGATATATTCATAAACACAAAAAATGGATATAAATAAGGAAATACATTGAGAATTCGCATTATCTATGTGATGAAAATATTAATTCTTTCTCGGTTTATTCAACACTGTTCGACGTGTCAAATAGCCAGTATAGTCATCGTGTATAGTTGTTTCCTGTTGGATATTATATGCATGTCTTTGGGTTCAATAGATGTAATTAAATGTTCGTCGTAGCATATAGCCAGGAAAGTAGTTGTTTTCTGTTGAATAAACCGAGGAAGAATCAATATTGTCACGACCATTGGAGCCTTCCTCCCCGGCTGCGTGATCTTAGGGGGTTATGCTTGGCAGCAAGAGGGTGTCCTAACTACCACACTCTCGTAACTTGATTGTGGCAAGGAAAGAGTGCATGTTTTGTTTAACATAAATTTAAGTTTTATTGAACGATCAAAAACAGTGAACAAGTGAGCAACATAAAAAAGGTTTAGTGAGACAAAAAAAGTTAAGTGAAGTGACTAAATTAAAGTGACCCTATGGCTACACCTTCTAGTGAAATCCTATACATCTCTGGATCTAACTACCAACGTGGTTGGAGACAATTACAAGGGCCGTACAAGGTAATGAAACAGTTTTTGATTGAAAAAATGTACTTACATTGTCCATACAATAATCGCTGCTCCGGCAGGGGAAGAGATGTGTGTCATGGCGTTGACGTCTACTCACTCACTAGGGTGGTTACCCGGAAAAAACTGTACTCGTAATCAACGTCGTACCGACTCTGATTCTCTGATTGTTCGATGTCCCGGAAAATCTATCCTTCAATTGTTTTATAGGCGATACTTGCCGAGTTAGCAGAATCAGCAATAATCGTACCTATCGAGTTCATTACCTCATAGGTGAACTTTCAAGTCCGATGAATTCTGCCGGAAAAGCTTACTAGGTTCCTGTCTGTGGAATTTTTTCCGGGTTTGAATTACATAATATGTTATGTGAATGACTTTGGATATTATCTACTGAGGACTTTGATTTTCTTATGGATATTTCTTAATAAATTGATTGAATGGTTCCTTTGGTATACCAGGTGTGACAATATTTGTGTTGAGAATATTCCTCTTCAAGGATTTGTTGCATCAACAAATTATTTATGCTTGAATGGGGAAAACCACTGATTTTTCAAAACGACATTATCGTGAACTCTATACTGAAAAACTACCAGTGAATTAATTTCGAATTTTTTCATTCATGCTAATAGGACGATGAAAAAAATAAATTAGTATATGTCCCTTTTGGGTGTATGATAAATTGACATTCATCATACAGGGCGTAGAAATGCATTCTGAATTGAGACTCTATCACGAATCTGCGATTAGAGGTCTATGAAAATCACAAGTTTCTATCGTTCAAGTTTGAACCCCCTGATTGGGTATGAAAGTGTTGAAAAGGAATATTCTCAGATAAATTATGAACATACAAAAATGGATATATATTTATATAAAGCAATACATTGAGAATTCGCATTCTCTATGTGATGAGAATATTTACTCTTTTTCAGTTGATTCAATAGAAAACAACTACTTTCCTGGCTATATGCCACGACGAACATTGAATTATATCTATTGAACACACACGATAAGAGTTTGAAAATAAAATATAAAAATTTCTGAAATTGAGAATTTGCATTCTCCTTCAGACAAAAATATGTATATACACACATCATTCTGAATATTCAACAGAAAACAACTATTTTCCTGGCTATTTGCCATGTCGAACAGAATTTTAATTCAATGTTCGACATGGCAAATAGCCAGGAAAATAGTTGTTTTCTGTTGAATATTCAGAATGATGTGTGTATATACATATTTTTGTCTGAAGGAGAATGCAAATTCTCAATTTCAGAAATTTTTATATTTTATTTTCAAACTCTTATCGTGTGTGTTCAATAGATATAATTCAATGTTCGTCGTGGCATATAGCCAGGAAAGTAGTTGTTTTCTATTGAATTAACTGAAAAAGAGTAAATATTCTCATCACATAGAGAATGCGAATTCTCAATGTATTGCTTTATATAAATATATCCATTTTTGTATGTTTATAATTTATCTGAGAATATTCCTTTTCAACACTTAGTATATGTCCATTTCGAAACACACAATACCTGCGCCATTTGAAATTTCATCGATTCATTGGTGTGACTGGTGCGACGTCTTAGTCCCAACACGCCTATTGTCCTTGAACTGACCAATTACACTGCAACACTGCAGAATGATGAGGTATCAGAGAGAGATAGCTACAGTTTGGGACTAATACGTTATGACTCCACCATCATATTTGGCTGTTTGAAATATCGCATGAAATATGCTGATTTAACGTATTGAAAATTTCAGAAAAATCACTCGACCGCCTACTATGATTTCTCTACGTCCACAACGAGCGAGACGTTCATTCTACATTTTCCCGCTAGATGGTGATGCTGCTATTGGTGCTGTGACGAGTGAGAATAAAATGGCAAATGGCATTCTAGGTACGGGGAACATATGAACCAGTGGGATCATTCAACCCTGAATTCGAAAAATCTGCAACAATTCCAAAACCGACAGATATCATAATTGTGCAATGTCGCCATCTATTAGAAGATCGACGGAACCATTGCTCTCACTGTTTTCGAGAAGTCGAGTTAAATTTCTGAAACAAAAGCGCATCAGTAATTACACCATATCTTACTTCCATCATTCCTGAGTGCAGGTGTCTACGCACCCGCCCACCTGTGTAGAGAAGAAGAAGAAGTAGAAGAAGTTGTTTTGGGATTCGATTGTTTTCGAGCACTCTATAACAATCTATTGAGTTATTATCTTTGTATGTCATTTACGTTTTTCGAAACTGCTGTTCGCCAGACTCGTATTTATAGAATCTTGAAGTGGATTTATCATGCTTATGGTCCATTCTTCTTCGCATGAGATATACTGATTCCATTGAATCCTCGATGAGTGGTTATAATCCACCTACACCTAATCTGGAGTTTCTATTTGTTATCAGGTTCTTTGTTTCAAGCATATTGGATCTTCCTTTCATTTGATTTAAACCAGGAAAGAGTCCCTCTTATCCTGACATATCAAGGAAGGCAAAAAAAATTGAAACGGTATTGAAGTTTGATGAGCCTTTCTGCGTCAAATGAGTTTCAGAAATACATTCTGAGAATTATTGTGAAAGATCGAACAGAACAAATAAAATATCAAAAACTTGAGAAGAGTGAATCTAGTCATAATGTTGATATTATGTTCTCTAGTTCATGGACAATATCTGTTTTTTGAACTTTGATTGATCACCTGGGCCATAATCAACTGCATTTCGAAGGAACTGATCCTCATAAACCTCAGCTTTTTCGAAAGTCTTGATGTTTCGTTGTCTAATGACGGACACGATTCTGGTGATCTGGTTATTCCGAACATACCAGAGAGATCCTGTCATCATTCTCGCGATTTCGTATTGTAATGTTTGTAATCTAGTGATATAAGATTCAGCTGTGTGGCCCCATACTACCGAGGCATACAGTAAAATTGACCTGATAGCCATGATGTAAATGTTCAATTTTTGTCTCAAACCCAATTTATTTCGTCTGATTTGAAATGGATACAGGGCTCCAATGGCTCATTTAGCTTTTGAAACTTGCTGTTCAATGTGCTGGGCCAGGTGAGCTGTTGTCAATGCACACACCTAAGTATTTAACTTGTGAATAAGACCACTCTAACTCATGACCATCCAGGACTATTCTGGTTCTGGGAGGCCTCCGCTCCCTTCCGAGTGCAACCAATTGTGTTTTTGCAGGATTCAATTTGATCTTCTAACTTAGGAAGTAGGTACTCCTGAAGATGATTCAGCGCGCTATGGAGGTTCATAGCTGCTTGCTCGGAATTTGTCGAATATGCAAGAACTGCCGTATCATCAGTAAAAAGCGACATCTTGCACATCACTGGTCTTGGTAAATCGCTAGTATATAAACTGTACAACAGCGGTTATGAAACACCATGTGTCCGTCGAGGACGAGTGGTATTGCTGTACGGCAAGCGACAGAACTATCTCAAATACCCTCAACTACTCTCTTCTGTCAATTTCAATCTAACAAAAATGTACGAAAAAATCAATTCACATGAATCCATTTGGAAGTTCAGCGTTATCAGCCAGGTCGAAATTCTATACTTTCTTGTGAAGTGTGCCGTGCAAATTGAAGAGTAGTATTTATGATATTTTGTCTGATATTTCTGAATCTAATGAAAATTTCCGAGGAAAGTGATCATAAAGTGAACTTTTTTGACATAACAATAAAAAATGAATCTTCCCGAGTCTAAATCTGCATTTTTATGTCATGTTTCAGCCAATATCGATGAATCATTTCTGAAATATCGGCCATCAAAGTTATATGGTAATTTAACATAATATAAAAAATTGTATTGGCCATGCATAACGAAGATACAGGCTTCGTTATGCATGGCCAATACAATTTTTTATATTTTTATACATCAACTCGTCTTAATTTCCCCTGTTCACCATTTGGCTATGTGAGTCTCCTCATGAATCACCCTGTATATGTGTCGTCATATTTGTAAATATTAAAATTAATCAAGAGGATTCTGATTTCAATTTTATGCCATCCTTTTGGGGAAAACGCGCTTCCCCTGGAATTTTTACGGGCGGTGCTTATGTATAGGGTAACAATAATCACACGCAGGATGGGTGATTGAATGAAATCACATAATTATATTGGAGATTTCATATGATTTTATATAATTATCAGTTATACGTATACATTATGAAGGTGAGTTTTTGCTGGAACAACTTCTACAATAGTGGCAGACCAGCTATAGGTTCTTCTTCGATCCCGCACTCATTTGTTCCACGTCGGATTTTGAATGTACCCTTGTCTCCCCAGTCTTCGTTCCAGGAGTTTGCAACGAGCCAGTAAGGAACATTGTTCTCTTCACCCCAACCAATCAATTTGATTGCGTGTACTCCCAAAAAGTCATACGAAGTTTGTTGGTAAACACCTGAAAACAAACATGAAAGTTAAGGCATTGATTTCCTTATCCTAGTGATTCACACGAGACCAACGATACGAGACTTCCGATGAAATATGAAGTCTTGTCTCGAGTTTCGTCTCGCAGCCCCGAGTCTCGTCTTGTCTCGTGTCTCGAACGAGAGTCTCGCAAATGTATCGCAATTTCGTCATGCATAATCTTGTTCCAGTCTAGTACGGGATATTCACCTTAAGTTACTTTTTAGATATAATCATATTTAGATTTATGGTATAATGTAGAAGTAGGGAGAGAAAATTTCAACAAAAAAAACATTATTTATTGAAGAGTGAGTACCTAATAGGTACATACCTACATCATACATCTAAACAAGAAAAAAAAACATAGCATCATATATTCGAAAGTTATAAAAATAAAATGAAAAGAAACACGCATATTCTAAACAAATGAACAAAACAAAAACTTTAATCCAACATTATTCCGCCGTAAGAGAGAAAATAGTCCGATTTTGTTTCACGCATTAGTCGCTTTCAATGTGTTTTCAAAGTATTTATGTTGCACGAGACTCGAGACGGGACTAATGAAAGTCTCGTCTCGTCTTGTCCGAGTCTCGTCTCGAGTCTTGTCTCAAAAACGAGACGAGACCATGCGAGACTCTCGAAAACGAGACTCTCGCGGGCACCACTACTTATCCAGATCATCTTATTATTAATAATCTTAGCGCACGGTAATTTACTATATATAATAATCTGATGTAGCTAGAAGAAATGGAAGAACATATCTGCATATATTTCATTGCAAGATGTGGAAGTTCTTCTAGTAAGCAGACTTTTTGATAGCTGGCACCTTAGAATCAAGTCGAGAAAGTCCATGTACCATATCAGCATCTTTTTGCGAAATGAATTTCAACAAGTAATCATATTGAAAAGGAATATTCTCAGATATTTTTATGAACATAAGAAATGGATATAAATGAAAACATAAATATGAAGAAATACATTGAGAATTCGCATTCTCCATGTGATGAAAATATTAATTCTTTCTCGGTTTATTCAACAGAAAACAACAACTTTCCTGGCTATATGCCACGAAGAACATTGAATCACATCTATTGAACACACACGAAGAATTCGAAAACAATATCTTCTGAAGTAGATAATTTGCATTCTCCTTCATATAAAAGATATGCACATAATATCATTCGGAATATTCAACAGAAAACAACTACTTTCCTGACTATTTGCCACGTCGTACATTGAATTATATTTGTTGAATATCCAAAAAGAGAACATGAAAAATAAAAATCCTCACCAATATGTTCAGTATTGAAATGTTGAAATGTATAGAAGTAAATTTGAATGAATTCTGATCTTGACGAGCTTGGAACTTGAAAAAAAAATCATTCGTATCAGTGATCTGGGAATTATATCTCTCACAAACAGGTTATATGACTTCGGATAGCCAGAAAAGGAGTTGTTTTCTCTACTTCAGTAGATTTTGTTTTCAAATTCTGATCGTGTGAGTTCAATAGATGTAATTCTATATTCGTCGTGGCATATAGCCAGGAAACCTTGAATAAACCGAGAAAGAATCAATATTTTCATCACATGATGGAGAATGTGAGTTCTCAATTCATATCTTTATATATGTATATCCATTTTTTTGTGTTCATGAATATATCTGGTGATATTCCGTTTCAATACTTTCACCCGATTGAGGGGTTCAAACTTGAACGATGGAAACTTGTTATTTTTATAGATCTCAATCGCAGATTCGTGATTAGGTTTTCTCAATTCAGAATTTCTTTCCACCTCCTGATGATGAATTTCAATTTATCATACATAAAAAAAAAAGAAAGTAATCGCATCGATTTTCTGATCCAGATCATCTCATTATTAGATTACGGTTATTCACTAATAATTTCATGAAGCTAGGAGAAATCAAAGAACATATCTTCATTCCATTGCAAGATGTGGAGGTTCTTCTGCAAAGCAGACTTTCAGATAGCAAGCACAATAGAACAAGTCGAAGAAGTCCATGTACCATACCAGCATCTTTTCGCGAAATGAATTTCAACCAGTAATCATATCTTCAACTGTCCTCTCCTCTTTCATAACTGGTGTCATGAATATAGTACTCCAATAAATGCCATGGAGATTCCTCTGAATACTCCTCATCTTGGTATCTTTTTCAAGACCATGAATCATCTTATATAGAAGTCCACAAATGGGTGATACACAATGGGCGTGTACACCTTAGTAGAACTTTGAACTCAAACCATTTTTATAATGATCCTTTTATACATAAATGATGATTGACGATATAATTCGATCGAAAAATTAACTGGAATATTTTATTTTTGGACATAAATAATAGTACCTTCTAGAAACGGACCCTCTTATGACGTAGAAAACTCATATAGCCATAGTTAAAAGAAAATATCAAATGCCCGACGGAGACTGAGGCAACTGATATTTCAACTTTGATCTCGCGCTAATTCACTCTGTCAGAAATCATGTATCATTCACCTCTGTCTGGAATAGTCTTGTTTCAGTATTAGGGTTTTGACGTCACATCAACGCCTCGTTTTCAAAGGTCCGAAAAATCGGGGATTTCAATAATTTTTTATAAAACGTAGGGAGCTCACAGCAAGAAACGGTTTGCGGTGGTGAGCTAGTTTGGGTGAGTTCTATCGAATTATGTAATGGAATTTTTTTTGTGATATAAGCCCATTACAAGCCTAAAATTTTGCTACAGTAAGAGAAATAGTACCGAGAGGAAGACAATGGTCATTCATCTGGTCTAAAATGGTTCACAGATTGATAAAATATGAATGGCGCTGGAATTCCTGATGTAACTCCGAAATAATATTTTTTTTGTGGGGTTTATTGAATTTCTTACATTTGCCATGGATTTTTATCAAGTAACGGCCGAGACAATTGAAAAAATATTGACTACTTAATGTCCGATTCCAAAATTCACTCACCGCTTTTGTAAGTCGCAAAGTCGCTGAACACGTTGAAGGAAGCTTCCACTGGACCATTCCTCATTATGTCCAACTGCAGCGTCTGGATGAACCCTTCGATATAGTACGCCTCTGCACCATAGGTTTTCGATTTCTCGTAGGATAGGGTGGATCCCTTATCGCAACTACGAACGCATTCGGGAGTGGCGTAGCCCTTAGGCGGGCATTGGGGAAGGCCGCCAGGAGTGCCATCGTGTTCACAGGGTGCCAGGGAGTAGGCTTTGCATCCCTATAAACGAGCGATAAATATTAGAAGGAGATTTGCAGCTTTTTCTTGGGGTTTGGATTCGGTTTCATAGATAATTCGAGGATTAAGGGAAAAAAACGTTTCGCCCATGGCCATGGGCTTTGTCAATTTATTAAAATTTTTTGGCACTGTAAAATAATGGTTCACATTGTGAGGTGATGGTGATGAGACATGAATCTGAAAAAAAGAGAGATACGTACCTCAACCAATTCATGATTCACAACGATTGTGGTACTCTTGTGAATATTTTTTTATTTAAACATATTGTTTTTATATTTTTTTATTTTTTTTATTTTCCCTTCTTCTTCCTTTTGGAATGAGTTGAACATTTTAGTTGCATCGTTTTATGTGAGATAGAAAAACGAGGGAAACTACAATTTGTTGAGGTTAATTTGGAACTGTTGATCGCATGAATATGTAAAGGACATTTGACTGACATTACAGAAAGATGACAAGAATGACATGGAACAATTATAGAGACATATGTCAGGTAGGAGTTTTCTTCTTCTTTTTTGTTGTTCTCTTAACATTGACAACACACAGTGTTTTATAAATCTTGGCAGGTGTGGATGCAGTAGTGAAAAATTGGAATTGAAATAGTGGAACTTGTGGTTATAGAATAGTCTGATAGATACTGCTTAGATTACTGATATCTGTTCTGTCGTTCATCGAGTTAGTGTCTTTTTTAATATATATCATTTCTTTCATGCATCTCTTGTAGTAGTTACTTTCATAATCAAGAATTTTGACATTGTTAAAGGAAGTGGTATGGTCATTATCCATTAGATGTTTAGTTAGAGCTGTTGGGTTTTGTTTGTTGTAGTGATGTCCTTTCAATCTGTTTTCTAAGTATTGTGTTGTCATGCCAATATACGTTTTATTGCAATCATTGCATGGAATGGAATATATAAGATTTGAATTTTTTATTATTGGGGTTTTGCTTTTAAGTTTTGAAAAAAATTTGTTTGTAGTGTGATTTATGATTTATGTATCTATGTTAAATTTTGATAGGATGTGTGAAATTTTGTGTGATAAGCCATCAGTGTATGGGATGGATATTGTATTTAGTGGGTTGAGTTCTTTCTGTTTTTTATATTGTGATTTGTTGTATAATCTGTGTACTCTATGTTTTATAATTTTGTTTATTAAATTCAAGGGATAATTATTGTTCATCAAGGTGTCTTTAACTTTTTTTAATGTTTGTTCTCTGTATTGTGGATGGGTTAGAATGATAGCTCTATCAACCGAGCGTGTGATAACACTCTTTTTGTGTGATAAGGGGTGTTGTGAGTTAAAATTCATGTACCTGCCAGACCACGTGTCTATTGTATACCATTTAGTGAGAATTTTATTATTTTTTTTGATTAATGTTAAATCTAGGAAGTTAATTTCATTATTGAATCTTTAGATTCATGTCTCATCACCATCACCCTACAATGTAAACCATTATTTCACAGTGCCAAAAAATTTTAATAAATTGACAAAGCCCATGGCCATGGGCGAAACGTTTTTTTCTACCTAATCCTCGAATTATTTATGAAACCGAATCCAAACCCCAAGAAAAAGCTGCAAATCAAAAACATAACAGGATTCAAGAATATCCCTCAACAAACAATTAGAAGGAGAGTAGGTCTGCAGTACCGGATTTAGGGGGGGGGGGGGCTATGGGACTATCAGCCCAAGGCGGTGAAATTTAAGTGGCGGTAGGGAAAAAGAAAAAAAGCAAGCAGCCGACGAGGCGACAATCGATCTGATCACTGATCTGTGTCACTTGACCTGCGGAAGGCATTTGACACTGTCAACCATGCAATAGTTCTCAAAGAACTGGAAAACACAGCTACAAGAGATTTGGCAGAAAATTAGTTCACAAGCTTTCTGACGAAAAGGAATCAGTTTGTGAGTGTCAATGGATTGGGAAGTGATCTCAAAGAAATCACTTCTGGAGTTCCGCTGGGATCCATTTTAGGACCAACATTATTTTTAATTTATGTGAATTCCATGTCTGAGCTGTCTTTGAAAGGACATTTAAAACTGTACGCTGATGACACTACAATGGTCTATTTCGGTAAGATGGCTATTACCATACAGCAACACATTCAGAACGATCTAATCAAACTTAATAATTGGTTGGTCTCTCATAAGTTGACACCAAATGTTGAGAGATCATCATATATGTTCATAGGTAGGACAATAATGAATGTAAATAACTGTATTGCAGTGCCATTTGGGAACGATAATCCCTTATATGAAAAAGAAGCGAAATATTTAGGTCTCATTATAGATGAAACATTATCCTGGACAGGACACATAAAAATAGTAAAAAAGAAGATAGCTCCATTCATTTGCGTTCTGCTGTATAGGATAGCAAATTATATATCTCTGAGCGTTAGATATAATCTAGGGCGTTAGGAAGATGCTCTACTATTCGCATATACAGGGTGTCCGCTAAAAGGAGGTCAATCCATTAACCATATATTCCTTGAACAGAAACAATATGAGTTTCTAAATACGATTTTTCATTTTAGCCTTTCATATTCGATAATTAATTGATAATGGGAATTAGAAACTGTTTTTTTCCAATTTGAAATTATTATTGACAAAATCAAGATTACAAAAAATATCGTAGCCTACTGCAATCCGTTCAATATGAAATTTCAATTGTCGTTCTCTCCATCAAATCAAATTTGAAATACGATGTGTGATACATCGTTGGAACGGTAATTTTGAGTAGAAATCAAAAGTTGCGAAAAATATACAGGGTGCTTTCCAAAAAAAGAATTTCAATTTCAATTTTTGTTTTTCTCAGTTGAAGCTTACTCGAACGAATTGAAGATCAGTCAATTTTCGAATTTTTATTTTTCGAAATGGCTGAGATAATTCATTGGAATAGATATACTGGGATACACGGTATATCGGCACATTCTTTGAAGCATTTCTATGACCTCCATCCACTTCTATGATATTTTCGACTGCTTCTCGATCATTCCGGGGTAATAATTTTTTTGTCGAAATAATGTCTTTTGCAGATCCATACCGAAAAAATCACTTTAATCACAATTATATGGAGTTTAAGAGATACAAATCATGATATCGTTCGATGGAAAAGGTGCATGATATTCCTGTAGAATTGCCATGCCCTCAAATTAGAGGCTTAAATGGTTTTTTCATTTCGGAAATTTTGGAAGTGATTTTTCTCGAGTTTTTCAAATAGAACACCCCATATATTTTCAGACCATTTGGTTTGAAATCGAAACACGAACATCTTTTATCCCAATATCCATATAGATATCCGTAACCATTTTCGAGCTATTGAATTTCGAAAATTATAGGAATAGACCATGCATTTTCATCGATACACACTTTCATCTGTTATTAAAACATCAAAAGTCCAATTAATAATTCAGTAGACTCGTTTTTTCAGTGAAAGGATTGATACCAGAATCAAAGCAAATAGGAATAGTTCATATGCTATTCACAAAGTAAAAAGGAAACAAAATTGTAAAGTACTATTTCTATTTTGATGTTTTATGAATTCATGGGATATTTTGAGAATGGAAATGATTTCTCTTTTCACTTCGTAAATTACTAACATATTATGGACTATTTCAGATGTTTGCTTTGTTTCTCGTTTGAATTCTTTCAATAAAAAAACTGGTTTACTGATTTATTGATTGGGCTTTTGATGTTTTAATAACAGATAAGAATGTGTATCGATGAAAATGGTCAACCTGGAATTTTCAAAGTTCAATAATTCGAAAATGGTTACGAATATCAATATGGATGTTGAGATGGAAGATGTTCGTGTTTCGATACTACACCAAATGACCTGAACATATATGGGGTGTTTCTTTGAAAAACCCGAGAAAAATCACTTCCAAAAGTTCCGAATTGAAAAATCATGTTTAGCCACTCTGTATAATTTGAGGGCATGAAAATTCTAGGGACGTCCAGATTCCGAGCTTTCGTTCATCCCCAGTACATCTATTTCAGGTTCATGAATACCTAAATCACTATAAATCCCCATTTCTTTAGTTGAAAAGAAATGTAGAGTAAACAAAATCGTATTCTGAATAAAAAGTTGAAGAATGCGCTCCGACCGAATGACATTTCTCATCGAATCTTTTATAAAATTAGATAATCACGGCAGATAATATCTAATAGATGTTTTGTTCCTACTGGATAGATATCAGAGCTGTCTAGATAGTAATTATGTCAGTGCCGGCATCCACGATAATCAAAGCAGAAAATGTGTATAAGCTGTGATGAATATAATGATATCTGTGGTTTGAGCAGAATGTGAGTATTTCAGGGGTATATAAACAATCAGATAAGGTCAACGCTGTTAGCGGGACAGACTCTTCACTAACTTCACTTACAGTTGTACTGTTGTATGGACCTCCGGTGACGATTCCTGTTTGTTGCCAGTATTCCCAAGCTGCATATGGAATTCCACCATCGCAATCTCCGCAACTCTTGCAGCAGGAATTCAGATCCTCGTCGGATACCAAACTTTGATCTTTTCCTTTCGATAATATGCAGATTCTATCAGACATGGCAGCAGCAGCAGCTACAGCCTGAAAATGAATATAAATAAATAAATACAACAACATCGATGATTTTTATGATGCGGAGGATTCATGATTCATTTACTAAGGTCTACACAAGTCTGAAAAATAAGTGCGGGGGCAGTCCTCGGGGACGGCCGATAGAAGTTAAAACTAAGTAGCTTGTGAATTGTATAGAAATCTCATAGTTATTTTGACAAATGACTCATAATCTTCGACCCCGAAAATTCCCAGATACCAATTTTGAATAGAATCGGATCAAAAATACAAAACTCATTCCCTTATTGATTCCTCTATCTCGAATTTTCTGATTTTCACGAAGGAAACATAATTTCCGACCCCGAAAACCTCAAGATATAAATTTCGAATTGAATTGGATCATAATTACAAAAGTCGTTTGCCATATTGGATCCGCCATCTTGCATAACCTAATTTTGACACCAGAATCATATTCTCCGACCCCGAAGATCTCTAGACATCAATTTTGAATATAATCGGATCATAATTACAGAACTCGTCCGCCATGCATACTGGATCCGATATCTTGAATATACCGTATATTGTAAGAAAACCATAGTTTTGATGATAATTTCGAAATTCTACACGTAGACAATATAGAAATGAAACTCAATCATTTTGAATCATTAGAAAACAACATACTAAAAAATTATGACATTTCACTTAACGATCAATTAGACCTCAATAGTTCACCATTGTTGAATTTGTTTTCTTAGTAGTATTTTTTTTTATTTTACACCACCCAACAGAAATCCATTAACAGGGTGAAAGAATTATAGGTACAAAAAAATTTATAGACTTATCAAGTGAATACATATAAAAATATAAGGTTAGAAGAAGTGGAACATAACACATAGCAGTAAAAAATAATTTCAAAAAGTGATTTTTTCAACGAAGCAATGCTGCAAGAGGAAATGTGAGTTTTTTTGTGCATTTGTTCGAGGTACTTCGAGGTAAAAAAGATTGTTTTGCCTAGAATTGACTCTGGGAACATAAAACTGAGCATGCTTAACAGATCTCTACAGCTGATTTGGCGATGGATTACCTCATAAAGAAATATCAGAGCAGATATATTCCTCCGATTTTCAAGAGAATTGAAGTTATGTCTCTCTAATAAAGCATTATTAGATATTCCAACAGCTGGGTAGACACCATATCGTCCTTGAATTATAGATATTTCATGAAACGTCTATTGATTCGTTCAAGGCTATTTATATGAACATTGTAGTATGGACACCATATGACAGAAGCATTCTCCGTTTTAGATCGAACATAGGAGTTATACTTTATCAAGACTCCTTCAACCTTCATCCATAGAACGGCTAGGCTCTGGAATGCATTTCCTGTGGAAGTATTCCCAACAACATATTATCTCCAGAAGTTCAAAGAAAATTCCAATACCTACCTCCTGTCCCTATCCTCCCTAGGAACGCACGATGTTCTTTGAACATTATAGGGATTCCTTTTCGTGCGCTCCAAGCGATAAAAAGAAAATACAAAAGGAGCAGGGTATCCGTTTTCACAGAATCGCGAGTATTTCTGACAATGAAACCCAAAGCCCTGGAGCATTCATTGGTGATTTTATTTATGTGAATTGAAAAAGATAATTTATGATCAGAGGTTATACCAAGGTCACGGACAGAATTAAATCGAGGGAGCGCGTCATTGCCAATTGAGTAATTATAAATAAAGTTATTCTGTTCACGTGAAAACGTTACAATCGAACACTTTCTGGCGTTCAACAGCAGATGATTATTTATGCACCAGGTATATACCCTATCTAAGGCAATTTGTAAGGAAGCACAGTCACTCATGCATTTTATCCTTTTATATAATTCCAGATTTCAGATCATCAGCATATAACGAACAGTTGACTCCAAGATCCTCAATAATGTCATCGATGAATAGATTGAAGAAAAGTGGTCCCAAGACAGAGCCTTGTGGAACGCCAGATGTTGTTACAAATCCCATGGAACTCGAACCAAGACATTCTACGTAGAGAGAGCAGTTTTTTAAATTAAATAATAATCAAATTTAAAGAATTGGAGAAAGTATTCAAGATACCTGAGAATCCAAAACCATTCAATTTACTGAGTAATATATTATGGTCTAGCTTATCGAAGGCGTTGGAGAAATTTGTGTGAATAACATCGATAAATAATATGTATATGCTATTTTATGTAGGTATTTTAATGTAGACATTCTACTTAATTTCCGAAAATGAAGGTATATCGACTTTTTCCAAAGTCTTCGGAAGTATTCGGAATCTTTCAGATAAATAAACAGGATTTTGTTAGTAATGAAATTGCGCAACTTTGCCTCCATTTTACCCTCTCTGTTCTCATTGACCGATTATGTAGTGGAGTGTTATAGTTTCTATGGACCACACACGTACGATATACCACAAGCATGATACTTTTTTCAGTTTGGAACTCATCATTCGTATTGCTTAAAGCTCGGTCACTTACCCAGCATGATCCGCAGTCCGACTGATCTCTGATCAATCCGATCGACTTACAATCGGGCCAATTTTCTCGAGCGTCGAAGGTATCAGGAATGGTCTCGCCCTCGACTCTGACATGGCGAACAGTCTTCAAATTCTTCGATTTCTCGCCCCTGATTACACCCATGCGACGCTTGATGTTAGATAGGGGCATATCTTTGGGAAAATTCCTGCCAGCTTTCCACGTAGTCTGCAGGCTGTTGATGTGGTCGATGTATTCATCGGAGAGGAAGTGGAATGGGACGGAGGCAGAGATCACTCCGGAAACGGCTACTAGAGCCAACAATCCAAAGGCTATCATTTTCGTTGATGCTCCTGGAAATAGGAGCAGCATGAAAGTTTGACCTCCATCTGTATGCTCGGAATCATGAGGCAGAGCCTCAGCATTCAGTCATCAGGGTGTTCGGGTGATTCTGCCAATGTTGCCAGTTAGTTTGGTATAGTATTAACCCATTTTCCTACTCACATAACTAAAATGGCATTCTTCTACTCACATAACTAAAACGGTATTAAGCGTACGGATATGTACCACGCTAAATGATCGATTAATCACGGATTGACGAACTGTGATTTATTTAAAATATCAAACACGTTACCATGGCAACACGATTTCTTAAACACATCACCATGGCAACACAGTTCATTAAACACAGCTTCAGTAATTTGGTACTGGTACTTGCATATCTCCAAGAAGTGTAAAAATGAAGCATCTATCTTTGAAAACAATTCATTTATTTTGCGCTAAGCATGACAATAAACGTGAAACAAAAGTTAGTAAGCAATGGACTGGACACATCTACAACCAATATCACTAATACGTGTCTCGCTGGTTGCATGTAGTTGCATGTATTATGTTCTCAAATCCCATTCCTTCAGAATTATTTTGTAGGTTAGCAGGAATAGCAGGTATGTTAATGTAATTTTCGGAGTTCGTAGAAAAAGCATAGTATGGAACGCGTTTATGAACTCTTCTAGACACTCGTTCATCAAACACTCGCTCCGCTCTGCTCCGCTCGTGCTTGAAATACTCGCTGCCAAAAGACGTTTATAACACTTGTTACATAATATACTATAATGTATAATGTCCGTTTGAAGGGACGAACATTTATGTCATTACCTTTGAACGTTTCATATTACCAACCAATTATATTGTTTTTGATGTTCAATGATGAAACGATCGAATACTACGTTATTTTGTTATTTACTATCTGTTTTGTGTTCAAAGGGTTATCAATTCAAGATGGATGCTAGTCAGTATAGCAGCAGGAACAGCGAAAAAGGTTTCGTTTTTTTAGCATCAATTTTTCAGAATTTAACCACATAACATTGAATCAGTTCAGTCCAGAATATGTGTAGTAGTGATACATAAATGAACTTGTCAAAAATATTCTTGTCAGTAACTAGAAATAGCACCGAAATATGCCCGTCCCTTTAAACGGACATCATACTCAGTAACGATACTATTGTCTCAGATCATCCTTACACCAACTACTACAAATTATAAAAGATGATCATTTGTAGAAACGTGATAATCAGATGACACCTCCAGTACATAGGGAAGAGACTGATTGAGAAAGTGTGTCGTCAGATGACGAAAACCAAGCCAATCGTCTGGGACCAGATACACTACGTGCTCAATGTGTCTCTCAAAGTTGAACCAACACAATATATCGCCAGTCATGACTACCTATTTACTTGAAATCAACTGATCAGACCAGACCAGAGGTATCCGAAAAGATCCATGTAGAGAGGAAGTCTCCTAATGTCACATCAGTTGAGTTTCAAGCTGTTCTGTTGTTGGTTCAAAATAATTAGTTTTCACAATAGTTGAGAGCAGAAATATCTATATGATATGTATAGAGAGTTTTTTTGTCGTTTGCGAAGAGAGTACTACGCGTCTCTACGCGAAGTAGAACTTCTCAGCCGTCACCCATAGCAACGGCTGCCAAACCAAACGTCACTTTCGACTTCGATATTCCGAAACTACGAGAAAGGCAAGGTTATTCAGTGACACATCATGGTCAGATCATATTTTCGTTTTGTCAATAACCGTCAGAATAGTGTGTATATTATGACCGCGAAACTTCTTGGCGACCTCTTCAAGATCAGCTTGCCCCGCCCAGAAACGGCTTCGGCGATAACTTTTCTTTTCGCAGACCTAAAAGTAACTTCGCAGCCTAGGCATACTGATAAGTATATTCTATTCTGGCTGGAAATTAACTATTCGTTACCTTCGGTGTTTTTCTACTATCCGGTTCTGGAAAATATCCCAACGAACGGATGAAGCGGTCATCAGATAATGATGTACCCAAAATTCTCTCAAGGAGTATTTGTTAGCACGTGCATCTTTCCCAAGTGCGATAAACGGTAATACTGTTTGATTTTATTCCATGTGTGCAATAATTGTTGTTATGTTATCAGGTGTACAACGTCCTTCTCAAGGGACACTCAATTCCTTTCTTCCTAATGAATTTTGATGAATTTTCCAACAAAAAGTAGTCTATCACAAAAACAAACTTCTCACAGAGGGAAAACTTGCAATCAATTATTTCCGAACTTCGTACACTAATGGGTTATTTTCATTCAACACATGTACGTTGTGAAAACGTTAGATTGTTTGTGTGTTGCCACTTCCAATCTGCATTGAAAACCGCTATAATATTGTGAGGCAATAACGTTAAAATTTCAGGTGTATAGAAATTTTATATTCAACGTATCAAGAACGTTTTATTCATAGAAAAGTATGGAAACGTTATTTCCATGTGAAAATCTCAACTTTGATTGAAATAATGTTGAAGAACAAATGTAAGAACTTCACAAACGATAAGATTTCCACAAAATTCTCAAACACACAACATGTTTTGCTGAAACAGTAGTACATTGTACAGGGTGATTCACCATAAATGTCCCCCCCTCTAGCTAACTTATATTTGAACCGATTTGAAAACTTGGAGAATCATCTGAAATGATTTTTCAGATTTTTTCTCCAGTTGCATCAGAAAATACAGGGTGCTCTGAACAAACGATCTACAGAGTACGACTTGATTTTTTCAAATGGAACAACCTGTATTTCATCGTATTTTTCGATTATCCCTGAAGAGCTGATTTCATCAATGCATTACACTTGGGGTCTAGCGGGAATGATTACAGAGATATAGGGTGTTCAAAATCGAGATTTTTCAACTTTAGGATTTTTTTGTGTCGAAACTATTCATTATTGGTCAAAAGGGCTTTGACGTTTTCATTTCAACTTCTGATTTATCATCTACTGACATTTAATTGGAACAAATACAGTGTGGTTCAAGATTCAGAATTCTGATCACTCTGTATCTGTGTCAATTATTAGATGTCAGTAGAGAGTAAAATCAGAAGTTAAGATAGGACATGGAAGCCGTTTTGACCGATAATGGATAGTTTCGTCACAAAACAATTTTAAAGTTGAAAAATCTCGATTTTGAACACCCTATATCTCTGTAATCATTTTTGCTAGATCCCAATTGTGATAGATTGATGAAATCAACTCTTCAGGAAGAATCTGAAAATACAATGAAAAAAAGGGTGTTTCATTTAAAAAAAATCGAATAGTACCCTGTAGATCGTTTGTTCCGAGCACCTTGTATTTTCTGATATAGCGGAAAAAAACTCTATCGAAAATCATTTCAGATGATATATGATTCGGAATCGGTTCAAAAATAACTGAGCTAGAGGAGGGGACATTTATGGTGAATCACCCTGTACCAGTAAGTCAACTGACAAAGCTACTGCGTCAGCGAAACATGATGTGTGTTTAGGAATTTTGTAGAAAACTCATCGTTTGTGAAGCTTTTACATTTTTTAAGAATTCGTCAATATACAGGGTGTCCCTAGACCAGTGGGACAGTTGAATATCTCCTGAACCAATAGAAATTTTCGAAATATTATAATTTCACATCATATCGCATCATGAGTGCTAACTTCAGGAATGACTTCATTTTATACGAGGTGCGCAAGAAAGGCTCACAAAATCTAACATCAATTTTTTCAAATGGAACACCCTGTATTTCATTACATTTTCATATTCTCCTTGAAGAGCTGAATTCACCGACCTAGCACACTTGGGGTCTAGCAGGAATGATTTCCGAGATATAGGGTGTAGAAAATCGAGATTTTTCATTTTTGGGAATTTTTTGTGTCGAAACTATTCATTATTGGTCAAAACATATGGGGTCATTCAAAACAACCTTCTAGTTATTTTTGAATTTTTCAGTCAAATTGAATAATTGTCGAACCTTCAACAATCGAATAGCCACATAATACGGTTGGTTTGATTGGGTATGACTGGTGAATGTTCTTCTGCAATGTTACATTAACTTTGATAATTCAATGAGTTCAGAAAATAGCATGAGCAAAGTCGAAGCAGAATCTGAGATATCAATATTTGTTTATCATCGATATACCCAAAATCATGTCTTAATAATTGATGTTTTGTATCCGAAGTTTGCAGTGTTTCTATGTCCATCTCATTCGATCTTCGAACATCATAGGAATTTCCTTTCGTGCGCTCCAAAAAATAAATGATAGCATAGGTAACTGTATTAGTATTGGTATTGGTATTGGTAGGTTGGATGGTGACAGATGCGCTGCGACCTAATTAGATCTATTGTGCCCCATCTGCTCCTGCTATATCAAGGGTTTCCTGTTCATAGCAGCCCCTCGAGATTCAATTCCTTTAGGAATTTGAGGATTTTGAGGGGGTCTAGCTGTGGTATTTCTTCCACAGTCAGCTGGTGTGTTCCCAGTATGTTCAATCTTTTGTGATGTACAGCGTCACACTCCATCAGTATGTGATGGGGTGTTTCTGGTTCTTCCTCACATCTGTATTAGTAGCTATACTAACTGTTCCTCATTTGCAATATAACTTTTCAGGAACAATTCATTTGAGAAAATCACATTCTTAATGTTACTGAATGTCCGTTTCATTTGTTTGTGCGACCTTGCATGAAGATAGCAACAATCGGTGATGTACCTTCACACATCACGGGAATGTTCCGTGAATCAACTTGGATATTTCTGTTAGTTATTCGTTTCGTGAATATAAACTGTTCGATTGGTTCCTGAAAAAAGGGGTATTGGAACTCGGTTGCTGAAGGAGCGGTAGATTCACTGTCACCAGAACGATCGTAGATTTTATCTGGTGAGTTCGTTGAGTCGACGATTTTTGATTTTTGTGTTTGATTTTTCGATTTTCAAATTACAACGAAACACAATATCAGTTATCGCGTTGAGATGCGATCGATTCGTTCACTGAGGTAAATTGATAGC